GAGCAGCTTCTCACACAATCCTACCCGACCTGTCTGTCACCCTACCCCTGCAGTAACGCTGTGTCTGTCCTTCCCACCTCCTCTGGGTTAGAGCTTTGGCACTTGCTGATGTCTCCCTGCAGCTTCCCCACCAGGCCACCGCCTGCTCATCACTAACCCTTCACCCTTTCTCTCCGAAGACCCCCATGCCTAACACAGGTGACACAGCCCTGCTCCTTCCCTATAGGCTATGCTCCATCCCTGGGTTTAGCTTCTTGACAAGATGCGTGTTATTTGTTTGCAGGCTGACATCTTTTTTTCCCACCAGATTAGAAGTTTCAATGACTGGATATTTGTGTGTCCGAATCTCTATTTCCGGTGCTTAAAGCAGCGCAGAACTCATAGCAAGAGGACCATACATAAGTCACATATGAACGGCTCCTGGAAAGAGTCTCTCCTTCCACCTGCCAGTGAGAGTCTGGCTCTGAGGCCACGCAACTTGCTCACGAACTGAATTCAAGCAGCCCTACCGAACCCCAAATCTTCAAAGTTGCTTTCACTGTACCTCATCGTTGGGTCATCTTGTCACAGACTCATGAGCCAAATAAAGCGTGGGATTGTGACATGAAATTAAAGATAGACAACACTCTGAAAGTAAGAGGGTCTGGCCCTTCTTTATTACAAAGGAAAAAGGAGATAAAATACCCATAGAAAATGATGGAAAACTCAAGTTGTGTCAAGCTACCTTGAGAACCCAGTGGACAATTTCACCAACCTGTTAGAAAGTGATTTCCTTTAAATCAGCCTCAAAACACCTCATGCCCAGATGGTAACTCTCCTGTTCTATGTACCTTGTTCCTAGACCCAGCAACCACCTTCTCAATCATTCTGACATGTGCATCGGAAACACCATAGCGCCATGCTGTAGTGATCCTTGCTTCGTACAGCACGGTGTTCTCTTCTTCTTTTTTTTTTAATAATAAATTTATTTTTTATTGGTGTTCAATTTGCCAATATACAGAATACGGTGTTCTCTTCTAAATGGACTTTTCCCTGGTTTGAGTTGCCTGTAAACTTGTTTGCTGCAGACAGAGGTTTCACACTTGGAAATTAACCGAATGGCAGGCAGCACGATGACAGCTTAGTTTTGAAAAAAATGCCTTCCCCCAGTGTTTCAGGCTTATTAAGCTCTGAATTTTAACCAATATCTCCTGATTTCACTTACGAACAAAGCAATGCTCTCATTTGGCAACACAGCAGAGGGAGTTAATTAAATTAGGTACTAACAGTTTTTGTTATAAGTACCTGGAGCTTTTGCATCACGTTGGTGCTATACGCTGAATCTCTTTAAAAACAAAAACTTTATTTTTAGACACAGCTTTAACACCACTTTGTAAAGTTGAAATTTGTTCCTAATCATCTACTTCTGCATTTGTGCACACATATTATTTATTTTACTTTGCCCCACATCCTTTTAAGAAAATCAACTAGACTTTTTTTTTTATTTCCTATGGAAATCCCTTTAGAGTTACATCATTATGAAGCATTCTAATCCTAAGGGTTCTGACTGACCTTAACATCCATACTTAGTTCTTATTAATCGACTGGTATTTGTCAGGTACTGGTCTAAGCTCTTTAGTATTAGTTTTCTTTTTTTTTTTCAGCTTATTGAGATATAATTGGCACACAAAATCTGCACATAATTAATACATAAAATTTAATGAGTTTGGTCATATGCATGCACTCATGTTGTTATCACCGCAATCAAAGTAATAAACATTTTCATCGCCTCCAAAAGTATCCTTATTCTCAACCCCCCCCCCCTTCTTTGCAGGAAAAATACTTAACTTGAGATCTACTCTTTCAATAAATTTTTAAGTGCCCAATATCTTGTTGTTAACTATGGGAACTATGCTGTATAGCAGATATCAGAAACATACTCATCTTGTATAATGATAATTTTATACCCATTGAACAAGAACTATCCATGTCATCCTCCCCCAATCCATAATAATCACCATATTGTCTATTTCTATACTTTTGATTATATTAAATGCCTCATGTAAGAGGAATCATGCATTATTCACAATAGCTAATATATGGAAACAACCCATTCATATGCATGGGCATATGAATGAGTAAAGACGACACAGTCTATCCATACAACAAAATATTATTTAGCCTTAAGGGAAGGAAATCCTGCCATTTGCAACAACATGGATGGACCTGGAAGACATTATGTTTAAGTAAAATAAATCAGTCACCTCAGTTCTCAGCTTTATTTTTACCCTCACAACTCTGAAGGTAAGTATTCCATTATGGTTCATTCCACAAGTACTTTTGAGCATCTGCTATGAACTAGACAAAGTTCGTGGATTGGTTGTACGATAGTGAGTGAAACAGACACAGCCCTGCCCTTACTTGCCTTGTAGGGCAGAGTCAGAACCAACAAACAAATCAATGACTGTTTGCACGTTCCTTGGTGGCCGGACCAGGGATAAACACCAATCCAGTGTAATGGATATAGGAGAAAGGAGGTGTTTGCTCCCAGACAAGGCTTCACACAGACCGACAGCACATGGCCAGTAAGCGCATCCGAAGATCATTTCAGACAGAGAAGGCAAAAGCACTGAGGTAGAGTGTGCTTTGTATGTTTGAGAAACTGCAAGGACACTGATGAGCTGGGGCAGTGTGGTGCTGGAGCATCAGGGCATGAGATCAAGGAATGATGGGGGAAGTTTATGCAGAGCCTTGAAGAACATCATTAGAACTTTTGATTTTTTTACCGAGACAGATGACAAGTCGCTAGAGGGTTTCGAGCAGAAGAGTGATGTACAGTAACTTTTAAAAGAATTACTCCAGTTTCTGTGTGGAGCATAAACTGAACAGGGGCAAAAACAGAAGTAAGAAAATAAGTTATGAGAGAACTGCAATACTTTGTGCAAGCATGAGGGTCGCTGAGACCTCTGTTGTGATTAACAAAAGAAGTGGTGGAAAGGTGGACACTGGCTATGATGGGTAGAGTATCTCTATGCATTTGCTGACAGATGCGGGGTATGAGAGAGAAAGTAGAGTTAAAAATAGCTATTAAGTGTTTTAGCCTAAATAGCTGAAAGAGAGAAATTGCCATTTTCCAAGAAGAAAATAGCAGAAACAGGTTTTGGAGAGAAAATCTAGGCCTGTTTTGGACACATTACGTTTGAAATGCCTATTGAACATACAAGTAGAGATGTCAAATAGACAATCAGATGTATGCACGTGGAGTTCAGAGGAGTCATCTGACTCGAGAAATTTTTGCAAGAGGTCCACCTATAGATTATCGTATTTCAACCTATAAGATAGAATGAATTTCGATGGGAAAAGAGCAGACCCTGAGTTGTGCAACATTCAAGGGTGAAGGACGCCAAGTGGCATCAGTGAAGGCACTGAGGAGGCAAGAGAGTCAGGAGGAGAACCAACAAGGGGTGTCTAAGTCGGCAGTGAAGGCGGTGTTCAGAGAGGAAGGCATGATCAGCTGTGTCAAGGGCTAAGGACAGGTCAAGGTGTATGACTGGGTATGGGCCAGCAAATCTGACTCCCTGGCCAGAGACTGTGGACCTCCCTAGAGCCAGTTTGGTGCAGTGTGGGGGAAGAGCAGAACCTTGACTGAGATGGGAGCAAGGAGGACCAGGGAAGGCTTGGACATAGGTAATAAAGCCAACTTTTAATATAGTTTTTTCCCCCCTAAAGAGAAAGAAACAATTGTAAGAAGGGGATTCCAGAAATGTATTAGTCCAAGATGTCCTACACCTCTAGTTAGTAAAATATAAATATGGATATCTTTGTGAATAAGTATCACTTTATATAGAATCTAAAAGTTTTTAAAATACCTTACTTCTCTTCACTGTCATATGTCACCTTGATCCTTCTGTTTTTTTTTTCTCCCTCAGAGAAATTTATCAGGGTAGTATAAAGTTTACTTCAATAAATAAGTAAATAATAAATCAATAAAATTAATTTCAAAATATACTATTTTGTGAAAATGATCTATGTTTAGACCTTAACATATAACAAACCCTACTAAATTATCTCTGACTTGTTATTTGTAATCTGCTATAGTGAATGGCCCCATTCTTAGCACTAAGTAGGAGATAAAATAATGTATGTGTGTGTATGTGTACATAAATGTTAATTTTTATGTGTGCTTTTTTATATTTTTTATGATTTATTTATTTGAGCAAGAGGAAAAGAGAGCAAGGGCTGGTAATGAGGGACAAAGAGAGTCTAAAGCAGACTCTGTGCTGAGTGCAGAGCCCAGTGCACGGCTCCTCCACCTCATGATCCAGTGATTGTGACCTGGGCTGAAACCAAAAGTCAGACCTTAACCCACTGCTATATCCAGGTCCCCCGTGAGATTTTTTTTTTTTAATTTTAATGAGTAAGCTGGTCATAAGGATTCTCAAGTGCCTTTTGTTCTTAGTATTCTGTGATTCTTAAGTAAAATTATAGTTTTTTTTCTGATATTTAATAGTCTTTTTACAAAGAAAAATCTATAAAACATAAATAGCCACTTTTCTCAGAAAAAATATATTCTCATGAATTTATTAGTCAAAATGGATTAGTCTCACATTTAACAACATAATATTTAAACCGTCCTGGCAGAAAAGACTACATAGCTGTATTCCTTAATTAGAAGACAACTTATTTAAACAATGGAGAGTTATTTTTTATTGGAAGATTTATTTGTTTGAGAGAGTGTGTGTGTATCATGAGTGAGGAAGGGGGTGTGCAGAGGAAGAGAATCTTCAAGCAGACTCCCTGCTCAGCATGGAGCCCTACACAGGGTCAACCTCATGACTCCGAGATCATGACCTGTGGTGAAACCAAGAGTCAACACTTAAGCAACTGAGCCACCCAGGTGCCCAAACAACGGGGAGTTATATAGAATGAGAGAGAGCATATATGTGTGCGTGTGTGTGTGTGTGCGTGCATGTAGGCTTAATTTATCATCTCAATATGTTGTATTTTAATACATTTTGTGCATGCTTTAGCAGCACATTTATTAAAATTGGAATAACCAAGAAAAGACTAGCATGGTCCCTGAACAAAGATGACAAGCACATCCATGAAATGTTCTATATTCTCTTTATGAACAAAAACAAGTAGTTTGATGAGAAGCTAGAAGAAACTACCAATCATCAAAACAAACAGAGAAACAAACAAAAACTTCTACAGTTGAAATGTACAATAATTGATATAAAGAATTCAATCATTTTGGAAGTAGACTTGACCATGTGAAGAAACAGTCAGCAAGTTGAAGGATAGGGCACTGGAAATCATCCAATCAGAGGAAGAAAAAGATAAAAGATGAAAAAGAGCAAAGAAAGCCTATTGAAATTATGGAACACATAATTGAACCATTAAACCAAGCAAACTCCTTGTTTTGTTTTTGTTTTTGTTTTTTAAGATTTTATTTATTTGTGAGAGAGAGAGAGAGAGAGAGAGAGAGAGAGAGAGGCAGAGACACAGGCAGAGGGAGAAGAAGGCTCCATGCAGGGAGCCCAACGTGGGACTCGATCCCCGGTCTCCAGGATCATGCCCTGGGCTGAAGGCAACGCTAAACCGCTGAGCCACCCGGGCTGCCCTCTCCTTGGTTTTAATGGTAAATGCCTCAAGAAATTTTAATTCGAAGAAGAAGAAAAAATTATACACATGGAAATTCCAAGGGAAAAGAAAGAGAATGGGCCAGAAAGTATATAAAGAGCAATAATGGCCAAAAGCTTCCTGAACCTGAAGAGATAAATGTATATGTAGATCCACGAGGCCCAATGGACCCCAACAAGGTTGCACTTGAATAGGGTTACCCCAAGACACATTATAATTATACTGTCAAAAGTCAGCAAGAGAAAGGAAGGGAGTTACATGTAAAGGTACTCCCAGGAGAACAAACTGAGCCCAAATTTAGTGGAGGAAGAAATAATAAAGATTATTTAAAGCACAGAGATAAATGAAATAGAGAACAGGAAAAGAGTAGAAAACATTAACCAAACCAAGAGTTGGTTCTTTGAAACGATAAGCTGACAAACCCCTAGCTAGGCTCACCAAGGGAAGAAAGAAAAGACTCAAATTAAAAAAAAATTACAAATGCAAGAAGGGAAATTACAACTGATGCCTCATAGATACAGAGGATTGTAAAAGGTTACTATGAACAATTATACAGTAGAAGCTGGACAACCTAGAAGAAATGGAAAATACATAGAATTCTGCAATTTAGAAGACTGAATCAGGAAGAAATTGAAAACTTAACCAATTGATATTAGCAGGATACTGAATCAGGAATCCAAAATCTCCCAACAAAGAAAAGACCAGGACAGATGGCCTCACTGGTAAATTTTACCAAATGTTGAAAGAAGAATTAACATGAATCTGACTGAAACTCTTCCAAAAAACTAAAGAGGAGAAAAGACTCTTAAACTCACTGTATGAGGCCAACAACCTGATACCAAAACCAGAAAAGCAGACTCCTAGAAAAGAGAACTAGAAGTCTTTTATATTTTGATCAAAAATTTTGCTTATTAGATGATCTTGTTTTCTGATTAAAATACAGGTAGTCTCAGATTTTAATGGCTTTCAATTCAACATGTGACTACAAATTGGCCTCTAGAAAGTTGGAATTAATTTTTCCATAGAATCAACACTCAGCTAGGGCTGGGTGCCCGGACTGGTCCTCGCAGGGTGTTGTAATTCATATACGACTCACTGGGGCATACTGGACCCATGCAGCATTCCCAGTCGTGCTTTCTATACTGCGCACACACCTGCTTCTCATGGAAAACATATTCCTTGGTTTTAATGGGAAATGCCTCAAGAAATTTTAATTCCAAGAAGCAGCCCAACATTTTCCCCTAAACTTCCATATGTATGCCATTGTTCAGTTATGAGTAAGGTGCTTTATTTCTTGATAAGGAGCCCCCCTAGATTCAGAAACAAAAGACTGATGGGATTCTGGAATCAGGGGCTGGGAATTCCCAGTTTCAGGCAAAGGAGGAGCTCTGTTTTGTGGTGGCCAAAATGGTAGCTCTGCGCCAGTGGGGGCCAGGAGAAACCTAGTACTTCTGCTACAGAGTAAATATATTTCATACTATCGAATTTATATATATATATATATATATATATATATATATATACACAATAATTCATACATATAATCATATAAATATATTATATATATTATATTATATTATATATATATTATAATATATTATCTATTATATATAATTATATATATAAATTATATGTATATGTATATATTTTACAAAGGCACTTGTGGGCCCTCAAAGAAATGTCTGAAGAAACAATCTCTCCCTCCGACTCCCACCTGCAGCATCCTATTAGTTTCACCTTCTAAATAACTCTCAAATCTATATCTTCCTTTTGACTCTCACTTAATTCATCTGAATCACCAACATATCTAGCTTGGAACTGTTCAATACCCGGGTTTCCTTAATTGGCAAGCACAGGAGGTGGCTCTGTGATTCTGCTGTTTTGAACTTCACCTACTACATGCTGCTAATGCTCCCGGTGATGAAAAGACTGAGAGATCCATTAGTGATTCTGTAAGTGGAAGTGCCCCCAGATGAGCACAGAGTGAGGCTCTCTTCATTTGGCCGGATCTATTCGTGATTTCCGACGTGAGGCTGGGAGGGTGCTGGTAAACCGAGAGCTGTATTGATGCTGTCCCCTTCCTTCCCAAATCATCGCCCCAAATTTCCCTTAAGTGGCTGAGTGGCTTATAAAGGTAATAAGATCCATTTTGCAATAAATTAATAACACAAAAATTTCATTGTAAAGAAAAAAAATTTATGCACCTTCACCCAACTGGCCTCACACATTGATGCTGCTGTATAGACTGTAAAGTGTGACTTGTGCAGAGGGCCACTGGGACGTTTTTATATTTTCACGATCTGCTTATTTCATGGTGTGTGGTGCCCTGTGGTTTTATGCTTTATCACTACCGATGTCAGGCACGCATCCCCAATGGACCAACGTGGCAATTTCTAAAGATGGGGTGTGAAGCGCAAGAGTTTTCTAGGTGTACAGGCAATTCTGATAAGGCTAGTGATAAAGAATTACAATCTTCTGAATCATCTCACTGCACTAAGGTCACACGCAACACAAAAGGAATTCTGTTGTTCCCATGAAAGCCACTTGTGGGTTTTACATGGGAAATCGAAGTTCTCCCGTTCACTGTGCATCACAAGTGGAAGACAACTTACAAACGCAGCGCAGGCTCGGGTGAAATTGAAGACACTTAACTGCAAATCACAGTCACTCAACGTGTAATGGTGCTGATTATTTTAAGCAACTACTGGAATCGAAAATAGAGTAAAGCTTTTGCTGAGAAGCAAGAAGTCACACTTGTGAAAAGGCTCAGGAAGCCAGTCACTTAGAGGCAGAATTTATTGACCAGAAAAGGTAAAGTCACACAGTTGGTGAAACTTCAGTAACGTGGCATGAAAACTTGGAGTGGGTGTACAGTGAGAATTCCCAGATACGATGCAGCACGATGAGCGGGAATAGATCTGCTCCCCGCAGGATCACTCAACACACTGATGACGCGTCCCTGTTCTATGAAACAATTTTTCCGTCAAGGTAACAGTGAAAAGATCTCACAAAAATGGTGGTAAAGGGTAGCCCTGGTGGCGCAGCGGTTTAGCGCTGCCTGCAGCCCAGGGCATGATCCTGGAGACCCGGGATCGAGTCCCACATCAGGCTCTCTGCATTGAGCCTGTTTCTCCCTCTGCCTGTGTCTCTGTCTCTCTCTGTCTCTCTCTCTGTCTCTCTCTCTGTCTCTCTCTCTCTCTCTCTCTCTCTCTGTGTCTCTATGAATAAATAAATAAAATCTTTAAAAAAATGTTGGTAGAAATTTAAGAAAAAAAAAAACTTTCTGCTATAAGTCGGTGCTTTAAAAAGGCAAAGACCAAGATGTATTTCATGATTTGTTTCTCTGTCCAGAAACAAAAGATCCTGGAGAAACGGTATTAGCATCTGTACAGACACCGTCAATTGTTGACCTCCTTGTCGCTGAAACCAACAACAAACAAAAACAAACAAACAAAAAAACCCTATTTGTTGTCACAACGCGTTATTTGCTTCACAGCAAGTTACTTGGTGAAAAGCTTTTGAACGATGCTCTAAGAAATTATGAACTTTGTAAGATAAAGTTTCAGAATATTCCAAGGCAAAGAGCATTATGGAAAGATGCAGAAGTGAGTGTTATCGGTCATTTTTCATCAAGTGAACCTGTTAAAGAGGTTTTCTCAGCCCCGTGGAGAAAGGGATTGGGTTTTAAGTGGTAATATTATTGAATTTAAAAGGCAGTTGGAACATTGGAGAAACCAGGTTGCAAAGGAAAATCCTGAACCGTTTCCAGGGCTGCTGGGGTTTAGGACAGGGAAGGCTTTCAGACACCTCCCGTATTTTTCAAACCTCCTCGGAAGAGCTGCAGAATGGGACGGACTAGTGTTTCCCCCTGTTCGCAGAAGTGGGCGGGAGGGTGAGGAACCCGGTCTCTGAACCTCCGTTCAGCTGGAGCGCGGGACTTTGAAGGAAGAGGAGGAGCAGGGCGCGGAGCTGCGGCCTGGTACCCTTGCCCCTGCCCGGGTTCTTGGGGTGCGAGACAGGAATATCCAGCCGTGTCTAAGAAAGCAGGGGCCCTTGGCTGCAATGTGAATTTCTGACAAGTGTGAGCAAGCTTCTTGTTTTCAAGCATCAGGAATGAAGACAGACACTCTCCTTTCAGTAAAAAATGAATCTCATGTGTGCTTAGATAAGTTTTATTTATTTTTTTAATAATAAATTTATTTTTTATTCGTGTTCAATTTGCCAACATACAGAATAACACCCAGTGCTCATCCCGTCAAGTGCCAGTTTAGATAAGTTTTTTTTTTCCAGTTTAGATAAGTTTTAAACTGAGAACATAATACTGTGCAGCAAAGAAGCACAATTTTCACATGAAAGAGATACACTTGATTTTTGTGTTTGTACTTATAAAATCCCTACTTGTTAGGTGTATCTAGATCTGTAAGAGAGCAGGAGGCCAACAGCTGCATATATTTCTCTACTGTCATCCTTGTATCCGTGCT